TGAGATTTTGGGCCTGACTCCAAAAGCAAAGGCAATAAAAGCAAAAATAAACAGTCGGGATGATAGCTAAGATGCTTCTGGACAGCAAAGGAAATTATCAACAAAAATGAAAAGGCAACCTACTGAACGGGAGAAAATATTTGCAAATTACTTACCTGCTAAGGTGTTAATATCCAAAACATACTACTAACAGCAAAGCAACAACAACAACAAATACCCCCAAGAAATCTGACTTTTAAAAACAGGCAGAAGATCTGAATAGACAGTGTACAGGGAAGGCATACGGATGGCCGACAGGCACACAAAAAGAGGCTCAACACCACCAGTCCTCAGAGAGGTGCAAATTAGAACCACAGTAAGAAATCACATCACAGCCTTGAAAAACAGATTATTCACTTATTTGGCTGTGCCAGTTCTTAGTTGTGGCACTTGAGAGCTTTTGTTGTGGCATGTAAGATCTAGTTCCCGGACCAGGGGTCGGACCGGGCCCCTGCTTTGGGAGCTCAGAGTCTAAGCCACTGGACCGCCAAGTCAGTCCCTCACCTCATATCTTTACAACAAACAAGAAATAAATGTTCGTGAGGATGTGGACAAAAGGGAACCCTTAGGTGCTGGTAATGTATCTACATAGTTAAACTGTAAAATAAGATTTCCAAACACTGAAGAGCAAGAATGGGGCTTGTATCGTCACAAGGAGCCCCCTTTATTTACCTAGGACTTACTCTCTTGTTGGCCAGTGGGCCCCTGAGCTAAATGTGATGAAACAACAACAAAAAGACATTGTATTTTTTCAGATGTTAGAGATTTTCCAGTTCTAAACGAACAAGGTGTAACTAATTTTATTACCTTTTACTACCTGACCTTTTCTCCTTTGGCCAAAACAAAAAGATGTTTCCTATTTTATGTAAGAATGATTTTCTCCAGTAACAGCTGTGAGAAAAAATTATGTGCAATGACAGACACCTAATATATTTTTATATTAAAATGTCATTCAAAACAGTTTGTAAGAAGTGCTATAAAAATAGAGGAACTGAATAAGCTTTATTGACATAAGTGATTGAACACTAAAGCAGAAGTAACTTCTCTCTAAGATCTTAATTTTTTTATTTTTTTGGCTGCACTGCATGTGGTCCCAAGACCAGCTATTGAGCCCTTATCCCCTGCCGTGGGAAGCACACAGTCTTCAATGCTGGGTCCCCAGGGAAGTCCCGAGGTCTTAGTTAAAATGTGCCTTTCCGAAGAGCGTTTCCTTGAGCTCTGCATCTAGAGTAACTTGCCGTTCTAGTCATGCTGTTTAGCTTCATTCCTTTCATTCATATTCCTATCATATATTTCCTTGTTTATACTTGCTTATTTTCTATCTCTCACCACTGAAATACAAACTCTAGACCATGTTTTATTACCTCTATGCCTAGAACACTGCACATAGTAAGCACATGATACTTGTTGAATGAATGAATCTGTTTTGAAAACATAAAAATGTTAACCATTTACTCTAGGCTAGCCCACCAATTTGTGTTCTTTTGTTTTTATTGTTATTCAGTTTGCCAACAGTTTATTATATCTTTCCTCTTCACTGTAGCATTAGTTGATCAGTCATGTCCAACTCTTTTGCAGCCCCATGGACTGTAGCCTGCCAGACTCCTCTGTCCATGGAATTCTCCAGGGAAGAATACTGGAGTGGGTTGCCATTCCCTTCTTCAGGGGATCTTACTGACAAGGGACCAAACCCGCATCTCCTGTATTGTACGCAGCTTCTTCAATGTCTGAACCACCAGGGAAGCAGACTTATTTATTTGTGGATGTGATTCCGGTCATTCTGATTTAATGGATTATAGTGGAGAGCGTTTTTCAGACACTTAACAGAGCCATGTTCGGTGTGAGGTTTTGCTAATAAACTAATAGAGCTCGTGGATTTTTTTTTTTTAAATAACTATTTTATTGCACACAGACTATATTCAAACAAACTGCCCACTCAGAAAACAGCAGGTTCTGGCTTTTCCCAGAACCCCCAGAAGAATATAGATTGGAGCCTGTGGGAGACAGTATCTTCTCCAAAGTGAAATGTGAGAGAGATTGTGTGTGTCTGTGTGTGTGTGTGCCCACACACACGCATTGTAACCTTTTGATTCCACGGGGTTTGGCTGGCCTCATGTGTAGATGCACACCCTTCCTTGCTTCTCTGGTCCAGGAGGAAGCCTCATCCTGGGGCAGGCATAAACCAGTCACTCAACCTCCATTTTATTCTTTTGCAAAGAATCAGTGAAGGCTTGCCACTCTGCTGGGTAAAAACGCTTGTACACGTTGATCTTATTCCGAATCTGTTTTGGGGTATCTTGATAGTAATTCTTCTCGTCCCGGGCCATAGCCTTATAGTTCTCCCCATGGTTCTCCACCATGTAGCGAACATAGTCAATGAGATCTCGCGACAGTGTATTTCCTTTCTTTTCTGGAAGGCTGGCTTCTGCCTCCAGGTCATTAAGCACATACGGCTTCCGCACAAGCTCCTTAGGCCTCTCCTCTACATCCACTTCCATGGCCTTAACCTTTCTCTTAAGAAGGGGCACGGCCCTGTTGGGGTCCATAGCCAAACCCATCTCGGCCAGGTTCTGCCGCACCGATTTGGTCTGGTCCCAGGCATGTCGGATGTGTGAGCATTCGATCCGCGGCGCTGCCTTCCGTCTAGCATTCCGGTTCAGACGCTTCCGGTTAACATTATAACCGAACTTCTGCCTCCGAGTTTTTCCCCTGGCTTTGGGCATTGCACTTACCACAGCACCGACTACTAGACTCTGCTTCTCACTCCAGCTACCTCGTGTAGCGACTCGAGCTCGTGGATTTTTGAAGAAATAAATCAGAGTAGGGGGTTTTGCCCTTTAAAAAGAAAACCACACCACTGACTTGTGTTTTTTGAGTGAAAGAGAAAGGGGGTGGACTGCCAGGATGCTTCTAACCCTGGGCCCCCAAAGGCAAGTATGTTGAGAAGATAGACTGTGATCCATTGCTCTAGACTTTTGTATCTGCTGCCTGGACCAGGAGGAGTGAGATTATGTTATGGCCCTTGCTTCGACTGGGCTTCCCTGGTGGCTCAGATGTAAAGAATCTGCATGCAATACAGGAGACCCTGGTTCCATCCCTGGGCTGGGAAGATCCCCTGGGGAAAGGAATGGCAACTGACCCGTCTTCTTGCCTGGAGAACTGCATGGACAGAAGAACCTGGCAGGCTGCAGTCCACAGAGTCGCAAAGAGTCGAACGTGACTGAGTGACTAGCACTGCTACACTACTCGCCTCAGTTGAAGAGAAATTAAGGGTAGACCGAAAGTTTAGGGGGTTAGGTTGAAGCATCCATCACCCATGTCTGACAGATGGGTGGGAAACTCAATGTCAGGTATGCTGGAGGTGCTCAGTCAATGTGGGCTCATTTTCTTTTTTTAAACACTTTCACACATAATTTATTGGTATGGACTCATCTTAGCAATGCTGCTGAGGCTCCAGCTACTTGATGGTTTCATTTGGCAACTTGTACAAGCATGGCAGGACTTATCATTGAAGCTGGGAGGGTCTGGCACTAGGCGTTTAGAAAAATAATTTCATTTCTTATGTTTTGGGGGATAGGAACAAAAGGGGAATAGTGTATTTCTTCTTTTTTTTTTTTTTAAGATCACCTGGTTTATTGAGAAAAGTTCGTAATAAAACTGCAACTGCTATTTTTACAACTTACAAAATAATTTGATATATAAAATGAATTGGTTTTCATTATGTAAGTACAATAGTAAAAAAATAATAATATTCCATGTGATATATCATATTTGCAAGTCAGAGAAATCCCACATTCCTGAATTCTCCTGTTAAATGTTTTACATCAGATATTTTTAATCTGTTTACCAAGGGAAACCAGGTTTTGAACCATATTTAAGTTTTTGCTTACAGTTGCAATCTATCAGAAGCTGTGTCTACATGATTAGAGACCCATCAAGCCAAAGATGAAAAACACAAGCCATGTCTTCTCTTTAGGCTGTTTAATGTTACTTTTGTGATGGGAATGATCCTCCTAATACTTTACTGAACAACCTAATACTACTTAAAGGTCACAATGAATTAGACCAGTCCATTTTTCAATCCAGTCTACTCTGGTCTAAAGCCTATAGACACCAAAGAGCACAGAATTACTAGTAGCTTTCTACCACACCCCCACCCTATGAACCACTTTAAAAGAGAAAATTTCATCTTAAGATTTCACTGCTTAAGGAGGCCTTACTACTGCAACAGGTTTTGGCAATGAAAGAATACTTTCCTAGATGTCATATTAAGTTAATGGAAAGCTTAGCCCCAAATCAATTATTCATGATATTCATTAGAAATTCTCACAAATGACATGCATGTAGGAACCAATTTTGCTTCTTTGAATAGCCAAAGGCTTGGAAAAAATTTTTTTTGCATTTCTTTTAGAATATTTAGTCACTGACAATTTTTACCAGTATCATCTTCTTCTCCTCAGTCCTTAATAGACCCAACCCATTCCATCTGGGAAAAACAGAAACCTAACCAGAGTACTCAAGTCTTTGAAGCCTTCTCATTTTTACCTTATAAATTTTGTGGTTACTTTCATACTCATATTCTTTTACAAATGCAATATCAATGGTATTGTTAGATACAAGGAAACATTGGCATATTAGTATTGAGTTGGCCAAAAAGTGAGTTCAGGTTTTCCCATCAATCTTATGGACAAGCCTGAATGAACTTTTTAGCCACCTTAATAATTAGGTAATTAATTAAAAGAAGTAAGTCTTGCTTAACACTACAAAACATATATAAAAGATGAATATGAAACTATAACACCATTTAAGAAACACTTTCCCCAGATTATTTTAGCATTTTGACCATAGTTTAATGATATGAACATTGTCCCCAAAGCAGGTTCAAAGTATTCCGGGGAAAACAGTTTCTTTCTCTGGAATCTATCTCAGCAGCAGTGATGTTCTTCTGCTCATTCCCCACCTTAGGCAGATGTGTAGAAGTACCTGGGCTTGGCATTGCCTTCGTAGTTGGGGAGGCAACAGAAGAAGAAGGCACAGCCGATCAGGATAATAGTGGCCGCCCACCCGAAGCCGTAGGCCCAGTTATAGATGTAAGTGACAGCAGGGTTGAGGTGAAGGTTAAAGGTCTGAGTGTACTTCACAGGGTAAATTACCAGGGAGATGATCTGGAACACAGCAGCCAGGGCCAGGAGGCCTCCGATCACTCTAAGGAAGACAAGCATTTGGGGTCCACAGAGTGCGAAGAAGGAGAGGATGAAGCAGATCACCAGGATGATGAGACCGCAGAGCAGCATGGCGGCGGCTGCCCTTCCCCAAGCTTCTTTATTCACATGCCCAGCATCCCTGAATATTCGTTGGGTCTGGAATAGTGTATTTCTTTGTGCCCTGAGAACCACATGCTTTCTTTTGGCCTTGACATGGTCATGAAATATGTTTTCTTTAAAGGAAGAATTTATAGAAAAGCCATGTTCATGTTGAATGATTTTAGGATTGATTTGTTTTCTTATACATTTCTTTCTCATTGTGTTTTTGTTTTTACATTGCAAAAGAAGTAGATTTTGGCTATAAAGTCCAAACTATCACTGGAGACAATGAAATTCACCAAGTCATTTGCCATGACAAAATAGCTTATGAGTCATAGTTAAAGCAATCCAGGAGTTGGTAAAGATATTTTTACTTGTTCTTGTGAAAGATTTACTTCTTAAAACAAGTCCAAAATACTTAAAATACTCAGATAGCAAATGTACTCTTATACATCAAAAGTCAAAAACATTTAGGAGATCATGTATTTAGGAGTCCATGTATGGACTCAATAAAGCACTTGAAAATATTTTGTTTTATAGTCACACATTTTATTACAAATTTATTTTGTACCCAATAGAAAAGCAAGTTTGAAATCTATTTACAAGAACTATATACATTTACATATATTACATACAGTTAATGAATTTAAAGAAAAACGGGCAGAGAAACATAATATATATGAAAGACTATGCCACTGTACATGGTTTATTATCATGGTTCTTAGTGTTACTGAATCTTTATTGTAGTAATAAATACAGTTCTATATTTACACATCTTATAAAACATCTCATAAATGTATTTTTTTTCAATTCCAAGTTAAAACATCTGATCAAAATAAACATGCTTATATAAAAATAAATCTACCTAATAGTCTTTTGGTTTGGATTTATTGATGCTAATGTAGTATAACAGAAGTTATGAATTAATCCTTTGACCTTTAGTATTTAATAATTTTGCCTCTTATGATACCTAACACATATTAAACATGGAATAAGCAGAGAAGTCATGTTCTTGACATCAAGTGAGTTGACCCAAAGACAACATAGCTAAAACCAAGCTAAATAAACAGGAGAATATGTTACCAAGTTTCTGGTGAGTCAAAACTCGTTTTAGACACTGTTGCCAAAGCTACTAGAGATACGCTACATCAGTGGATTTAATTTATGTTGTGTCTGCATTTGATTATTACCTTATGATACACATCAGTTTGAATCAAGTGATAAAACCTCCCGTGAAAAATGTGCACTCAACCAAGGTAAGAAAATCCCAGGTTGCTTTCCATCTTTTCTAAATATATCCATTGCCAGCAATGGACTTTTCTTCTCACCTCTGGGCACCAAAGAGTTAAAATGAATTAGAGAAACCAAAGCTTGTTGGTACCTGAATGCTTTCATGGTAATTTAAGAATTTAAGTTCATTTTTCTTTCAAAATATTTGTAAGCAATTTTATTCCACTGTGGGTAGAATCATCTAGAGCTGATTTATAAAATCTAGCATCTCTAAAAATGATGTGAACATGAGTGAATGAGTAGTACCTTATGTTATCCATTCACGGTGGGGATTGGTGACCTGGAAGGATCCTTTCTGGGAAAAGTGAAGCAGTACTAAAACATCTCCACATGGTCATTAAGAAGAAATCCTATTGGTCACAACCATTACTTAGTAATGTAGGCTATTTAAAATTCTTATTCTCCTGATATCTCCAAGCATATTGTAAGGGATTTTCTGGTTTAAAACCTCTTTTGTAAGTAAGTAAGTTGAAAAAGAATTCAATTGAAATCATGGAGAATTTTTTGGATATTTCAATATGCTTTTTAAATATATATGCATTTTAGGCTTACCAGAAAAGTATCACTATCTACCACAGGTGAAAAAATTATATAAGCAGCATTTATACTCTTTTTTCACTCTCTAGTATCAACAGTTATCAGCTTTTTGACACAGAGATTTTTTAAAAAAATCGAATTTCAACTCAGTTCTTTTTGATTCCTGCTCTGATGTACTCAACCTCATATTTTGGGGTTTTCAATTTTTGGCAACTTTTCCTCTCATATTAATTAGAGACACGGGACAAATGCCACAGATGAAAGATGACAGCTTTCGGTCATCGGATAAGCTGGTGGTGATCCGGAAGCAGAAGGCAGGTCGTAGGCTATGCTGGCACTGGTGAAGGTCATCAAGGCTTGGGTTGAGTCACAGGACTGTTTCTCCACATCGTCAGAGTTAATAGACATCAGGCTTGTGTGTTTCGATCTTGTCCAGAAGTGGGTTTGCTTTCCCAGGCTCCCCAGATCCTCCTTAAAATGGGGATTGAAGAGGATGTAGAGAAGGGGATTGAGGCAGGCAGGAAGGGGGACGATCACCAGGAGGATAAACTTAATGACTTCCGGGCTGATGAAGGTGAGGTTCAGTAGAGAGGAGAAGGACAGGAAGGCCACGGGACAGTGCAGGATGCAGTTGGTGAAGAGCAGCAGCGCCACGTGCTTCACCATGGAGCAGCCCCACATGCCCTCCAGGTCTCCCTTTTCCAAGTGACAGTAGAGCCTGGTGTAGGCCACGGTCATCACGAGGAAGCAGAGTGAGTTCAGCAAGACGAGGGCCACCATGTAGCCGGTAGCACGCGGCTCCCCGAAGGGCAGCGGCAGGCAGAGCGGGGAGGCGCTGTACTCGCTGCCCCCCAGCAGGGGCACGGCGGCCACGGTCCCCGCCAGCAGCGCGCAGAGCGCGAGGGTCGCTCTCAGGCTGGGGAAGGGAGTTTGCCTTTCGAATTTCGCTGAGCATTTCACCGACCACCCACGCTCCAGGGCTGCCAGGGTGAGCAGGAAAACTGAAGATTCCGAGGCAAAAATGAACAAAAAGCCGACAACCTGGCAGCCGACCGCCTGCTCCCACCAGGCACCGTGTTGCGCAAAGCTGCCAAAAGTGAAGGCGTCCACGCCAGCCAGCACTGCACTGGACACCCCCATGAGCATGTTGACCGCGGCTATTAACCCGATTAACAGTTTTATGGAGGATATGTACACTGCGGCTCTGAACACTGTGGAGGTCACCAAGGCGTTACACGTCAGTGCCAAAACCGCTATGGTCCACACTCCAATTCGGATCAGCCAGCTACCGAACAGGTATTCGCAGAGTTTGAAAGGGCCTAGAAGTCCAAAGAAGAAAAAGATGGGTGTCAAATGAGGGTTCACAACTTTTGCCACATTCCCCTTTTTGTTTCTCTTATTGGGACACCAAGAGATAAAGGCCAGTAACAGTCCTGGGAACACACTGTTCTCTTGTGGCACACTCCACTTTATTAAGTGAAAAAAAAAGAAAAAAGTGAAAGTATTAGTGGCTGAGTTGAGTCTGACCCCATGGACTATAGCCAACCAGGCTCCTCTGTCCATGGAATTCTTCAGGCAAGAATACTGGAGTGGGTAAGCCATTCCCTTTCAGGGGATCTTTCTGACCCAGGGATCGAACCAGGGTCTCCTGTATTGCAAGCAGATACTTTACCTTCTGAGCCACCAGGAATCCCCTTCATTAAACCACTATTTAAGGATGAGTATACCAGGTGCCCAGGTTCTCAAGCTATGCCTAGAGAAATGGAGCCAGAGAGTTTTTCCATTACTGGATTCTGGCTCCCCAAATACAGTGGTGTGGGGGCCAGGCAACAAGCCAGATCTCCTGGGCTTTTTATTATTAATATATCTTTCCAGAATGCTTCAAAAAGGTTCTGTAAACAGGGAAGAAGAATCCTAGGGAAATACTCTGTGATGTCAGAAGAGGAAGTGTGAGTCGTATGCATTTCATGAGAATGTCATCTTAGGTTTAGATTGACATTTGCTGTTTAGGAGCAAGGAAACACCAAACTGTTGAAAGTAAAGTATCAACCCTCCCTCACTGTCTTCCCCCTCCCCCGCACTGGACTATCCTATTTCAGAGAAAGGGACTAACAATGAAGTAATTAACATACATAAATATTTTTACTTACCTCTAAAACTATTATTTGTTTTAACCAAATAGGTTCTCTTTAGAGACAACCTAAGAAATCACTGTCAAAAATCAGTGATTACATGAAGCAAGACTGTTGCATACCAGTTCAGGCTAAAGTGCTCATATTATTTTAAAAATTACATATACCTCTAACTACATGATTGGTTCTTTAATTTCCATTAATCTGAATCAAAAGTCTCCTATAAAAATCCTGTTTATGATTGGAGACTAACTCCAGGGAATGAACATCTGTATTTTAAATGTCTGCATGGGGTGGGATATTGATGAGCTGTTAAGATGGCACAGATTTTGCCTTGACATGAAGCTGAATGGGTGGGTACCACTCCTGAGGAAGTTGTGATGCCTTTCTCACCTGGGGAAGGTGAGCACTGCACTGGATGAAGGGCTTTCAGGTCTTCCTCAAAGTCAAGTAGGAAATCTTCAAGATCACGGTCATCTGCAGGAATGAGAAATTCTGGAATGATTAGTTCTGTCTCTCTTTAGAGGGACTAACTCCCAGGGAGGAGAGTCCTGGATTGCCCTGGAGACATGAAATGTCAGAGAGGAAACTGAAGGGCAAACGTCTCACTTCTCCCCGGGCTTTCTCTCAAGTTGCTGATGTAGTTGCTTTGGGATGTTCCACTCAAGGTACTGTTTGACAACTGTCCCGGCAGGACTGGGGACGAGGGATGGTAACCGACCCTGGGGTCCTTGTCATGATGTTGGAGCGCTCATTTTGTTCTTGTTCCCTGCAGCTCATTACGGCCCCAAATCGCTCTGACCTAAATTAGAGAGAGAGCGTGGGTCTCTCCATTCAGTGGAAGAACCACTTTATCCAATGTTCTAGCTTAGATGGCTACAGTGCAGATGTTCTGGACTGTGTTCTCTGAACACAAGAGGGAGAATTAGTAAGTTTCCATCTTTCTGGGGTATTCTGCTAAACAGAGGACAAATCACATAACTGCTTGGTGCTTGGGTCAGCTACCCATGAAACCGGAGTTTTTTTAAATCT